ACTTGTGTTGCTTTTAAATACGTTGAAAGCACCACACTTTATTTCAATTACATACAAGCACCCGCGACCAAGGCCCAGCAGATAAAGAGTAAACCACTTCAATGGTTGCTGGATGGTTGGATGAATGATGAAGCAAAGTTAAGCGAAAATTAAAAGCGTTTTCACGTATTTGCATTAATTTTTGTTGTTACTTAGCGACAGAATTAAACTTTAAGACGCATTTGCTCGGCTAAAACAAGGAAATATCAGAGATCACTCTGTTAACGTCCATGCTTCACAAAAATAATTAGAAACTGACGCACTGCTATTGGTTCAACTCGAAGGACCACAGTACCAGTTTCAGAGCCCTTCGAGCTCACCCACACGGTGTTCATATTTAATCAAACAGCTTTTAGGATGTACATTGGTAAGGGGCTTGTCGAATCTAGATATTAAATCACACTTTAAGGCAGCCACTTAGATTATTGAAACATCATGCTATAAAAATTGTGCATTTATTAAAAATTTTAATAATTTTTAGGATAATAACTCATCATGTTTTAATTTTAATACCCTGAACAGGGTGTATTCAGTTTGCCACGAAGTTTATAAAACCCAGAAGCAAACGTCGGTTTAGCCTTAGCTGACCATTCGTCCTGGTTTTGCCGGGACAGTCCCGATTCCGAGTTAGGCGTTCCGTCCGTCCCGGGCTTAGAAATTAAAAAAAAAGAATGAATTGAAGTTGCGATTTTCAGTGAATTATATTATGAAAAAAATCGATGACTAAAAAAAAGTCCCGGATTTTGCCGGGACAAATATGGTCACTTATCGATATCGGGCCACTGTAGCGAAAAGCTGCCATACAAACTGACCAATCAAAATCAACTTTTTGTATGGAAACTTTTTTACTTGAGAAGGGCATAGCTGCAGTGCCACCGAAATTAACGCTTTTACATATTTTAGTTTAATAAATAATGAATACCGTGTCTTCGATATGAATATAATATGAAATGGATATATCCAGTTTAGAAAAATTATTTGCCTATATTTTGAGGACTGAGAATAGAGCTTTTTTAGAATTTTTTTTTGTTCAATTGTATGAGGCTTGGCACAGTTCTTTCTCTCATTTGTTGCATGTGTCTGCACATTTAAACTGATTTCGAATGGTTAGTGGATTTTATGGGAATCCTTGTCATGACTTATATACACCCACACGCTTCTTACTATCTTCCAAGGTACGATTTGATTTTCCTATTCAGAAAACTGATTTGTGTGTATTGTTTCGGTAAATTAAATTCTTTTAGAAATACATACAACTTGTTACAGTGTGCCTGCTACCTCATATTCAAAAATTGTATTAAATCACAATAGAAGAAAAAGGTTACTCATACAACATGGAGTACCAAAACGACAGAAAACGACACTCTTACGCATGAACGTATGTATCGGTTGCACAGCGCATGAATTAAGCTCAAAATAATTCTAAGTATTTTTGAGAAATTGTTCTGCCTCAAGGTAGAGAGTTCGTGGTACAAATAGCGACATACATACACATACGTATAGCGTACTAATTTTTTGAATAGTTCAATTAATTGTTTATATTAAAGTACCTTTTTGGAAGTTATTGGACTTTTACAGATTACTGCAAAAGTATTAAATTTAAATTTCAAGTTGTCCTCGCGCCACAAGCCATTTGAGCGCTTGAGAGATATGTTTGCGCATAACCAAATGTAAGCCTCTTTTAATGCGAATGTACATACTCGTAGATATTTACATGACTACATGACTCATAGCATAAACATACGCACATTTCGTTTTATGTGCTCCTTGTAATGTTGTTCCAGTGCGTGACGCACGTCAAGCGGTTGAGACACCAGAATGTCTGCGTCTACAAATAAACAACTTGCTTGGGCATATGTGATGTACTCGTGGATGGCTGAGCACATACCTACACACAAACAAACACACTATTAGTGCATAAACACGTTCATCTGCTCGAAATGGTCTGCGAAAATAACAAATAACAAGTTGGCTATGTAGTGAATTAAATTAAAGCAAATAAACAAAATCGTAAAGTGAATTTGCTAAAATGCCCACATAAAATCCTACGAACTCGTAAGTGAAACTCGCACATGTTCATCTATGCTTTTGGTAAAACATGTGGGCTTCCTTTTGCTTTGCCAATTGGCTACATTTATACTCAGCCATGCGCGTGTTTTTCTGGGAATTTATTTTATTGAAATTTCTTCAGCATAAATAAAGCTCTTCTCTGCCCAATTTGATTGCTCAATATGTAATTCCTCTATCAGTTATTACTACTGAAGTCCAAGCCATAGACACAATAGAGACTTCTTCGTTTCTAAAGCAGAAATGAATGAAGTCATCGTTTTTGACAAGCGGTATTCCCAAACATCCTTTACGAAATTTGAGAAACACACATACAGACCTACAGTTATGAGTTTAAAATATGTTTCTGAATTCGTACACAAACTTCTGCCTCCTTCCACCTTCCTCAATATTATCGCCCTAATGAAAAGGAGCACTCCGAAATTCGCTCTAACTTGGACATTTTTTTGAATTCGTCATGCTGAAGCCTTCACAATCAATTTAAATAACTGGTTTGTAATCCAGTAAGCTGCTTCAAGCTGGAACAATGTGTTCGTACTACACTTAGCTTACTATTCAAGTAATAACTCAGTCTCACTCAAAAATATTCATTTATTAATCAACTTGTAGATAAGGGAATTCATTGAGTAGAGAGCTGTAAAGCTTTAGGATACTATTTATCACTCCATCGCTAAACAAAATGGAGACCATGATGGTATGAGAGGAAACAGATTAAAACTATAAACACGTATAATGAATTTCTTTAAATTTTTCAGCTTTACTTTTTAAACGAACGAAATATGTGAGCACCTCCTAACATCCTGATAACGTCTTAAAAAATAGCAGTGATTTATTTTACGTTTTAGTTGCTGCAAACAGGAGGACTTATCGTTTGCCGGTTGTGTCGATGAAGCTATTGTCGCCACTGCAATTTCTGCGCGTATCAATATATATGTTTCATTTATCTTAGAAAACGACAGCACCGCGTTTTCATCAATTCCGTTAGCTATCAATATTTATTCTACCGTTTTGTAGAGTTTCTTCAACCGATGCCTACGTTGGTAAGAAGCCTAGACTACAAAGTGAATATATATGCACTTCAATTGCTAGGACAGAGAAATCATTATCAAGCACCAAAGACATAGAAATAAATACTCACACACATACATACATATTATATGTTATATGGAGCATAAATGCATACATACTCACACTCAGCAAGGCTTTCAAATGACAAATAAAAAATGAAGGAAACGAGCAATTGGCAACAACGGCATGACTAGTTCCAGGAAAATACATTTTTGAGTTTTCTCACGTTAAAAAGACATTCAATGAATCTTATGTGCAAGCAATTCAGCAAGTTCGTGCTTTCGCAAGCGTTTCTCGCGAGTGCTCGAATCAAATCCTTCGCTGCTGTGGGATTCGCTTCATATAGACCATTTCAAAGCATACGTGGGATGTTGGAATATTTATATATATATATTATTTGTACGTTTCTTTTGAAGAACTCTCGAATGCTCCCTTTTAAATCTCATCTAAGGAAAGAGATGTTGGATCCGACTATTTCCTTAACGGATCGCCCATAATTTGATTTAGTTTAATGATTTTAATATTGGTTAAAGGAGCAATAAATCTGATTCTGGAACTATGTTCAAAAATTGTTCAAACTTTGAGGTAAATTCGAATTTCCAAAGCATAAAATGCTTAAAATTTTTTCGAAAACTATTTGCCTGCTACTATTAACGGAGATTTACCAAAAGTGACAATGTGAATAAATTCAGTGGCAATATGAAAGCAGCGCTTGAGCTTTCATTCCAATATTTAAATATCTGTTACTTAATATGCCTTTTGTTGTGTGGAATTGATTTTCCCCCTTTGTGCTAATAATAGATGCAAAATCCTTACCCGCTCTTTCTTTTTTTCCGCTTTTTTCACATGGCATGAGCACGTATGCATGCATGCGCTTAAGTGCTTGAGTACAAGTAATTCAATAACTGCAGCAACAATTGTCATGCCTAAGCAAACAACAACTGTTGCAAATGTGACCGCAATAAAAAAGTGCAGAGCGGTGCGGTGACGGTGAAGAGTCCTGTTAGCCGTGCCACAACAACAATAGCGATAACAACGAACACAATAGGCCGGCAGCAACAGGCCGCACACACACATCGAACCGATCGACCAGCGCTGAAAGACAGTCTGTCACGGACGGGCGCATAGCCAGGCGTAAGCGAATAGCTCATTGTGCATGCGAGCATGCAACGGCATGAAATAATGCGAATACCAGGTACTGAGCGTCGGCTAAGGGTGCTGCTCGTGAATAACAAATGGCGCAGTAAATGCATTTGTCATTGGGAACGAAGGCAGCAATCACATCAGGAGCAACAGCGCCGAGCAGAATGCAACAATTGAATTGTATTGGATTGGTATGATTTTTTATTCTCCTTTTTTGCTTCTGTGTTTTTGTTCTTGCTTTGTCTACTGCGTGTGCTGAAAGCCCGTATTATTATTGCGTTTCAGTTATTCTGTTATTTCACATTCTTTGTGTTGTATAATTACAGAAGGAAATTCTTTGTCAACCTGTGCAGCGATTATTCATCTGGATGGGCAGCTTTCACATCTCATATTTTCCATTTTCATTCTTACAATTCACATTTATGAACAATGGCCATGGCTGCTTATTGAATAAGGTCACGTGGGAAGATGTTTTCTCGGGAATAAGAGCAATTAGATGGGAAGAAACCTGCTATTCATGCTGCGTCGAAACAAATAAAGAAAACTAAGTAAGCTATACACTTTTTTCCCAACCATAATTCTGATTTAAACGCCTTCAAAAATTATCAATAAGTCTTCAAAAACTTCCCTCACTGTAAACAAAAATCTAAAGAAATGACATACAAGACAATAAGTGGACTTACCTTAGACCCGCGGCACGTGTCAACGAAGTAACAATATTACCGGCCACTTCCAGGCCAATTACTGTTGGTGGCCTTAGTTCGTCTGGAGCTGGAATTAGTCCGACGAGGACGAAACAGCTGAATATTTAACGGGGTCGCGGCACACTGCTAAGAATTTTTACACAGCAAGGCACTAATGTAAGTGCCAAGAAACACAAACCCACACACGCAGACAAGAGTCAAATATGTTGAAGAGCGGCAAAAGTTAGGTTTCAGCTGAGGATGTGGCGTGGCCGGTGCCAAAAAGAGCTTTCACGTTGTTTTTGTTGCTTGCTTACTGCTTCACTGCAGCTATATTTGCTGCGTTTAACTAAAAATGCCGCAGCTCCCGACTAAGCCCGACTGTTGCGTGACAACTATTCGTATGCGTATCGCAATGGCTCCCGAAATATTTATCACCGAATTGTCGTCTTAAGACACTTTCACACGCACACAAAAGTAGCCAGTGCTAACCCACTTGACACGTTCCACATGTGACCTTACTTTTCGCAATGCGGTCAACTACACACCGTCTCCGGCTGGCCTCCTCTCCAATTGTTTGTCTACAAAGTTTCGTATTTTCGTTGGAGTTTTTGCGAAGAAACGAAACGAATTTCCGAGGCCTTTTATTTTCACACCATCAACTGCTGCCCTGTTTTGCGTTTTTAATTAATTTGCTTGCGTTTAATTGTGCGACAATTTTAATGCTTCTACCGCGCTTCGCCTGGTTGCCTTTCAGTACTGTGTCTCGGCCTAAAACAGTCAACACCACTATTGTTGTTGCTCTTTTATATACACTGTATGCTTGTAATTTAGTTTTTGATTATGTATATTGCTTTCTCAAACTTAAATTCCTAATAGTTGTGCGAATTCATATTGCGCCGCCCGAAGGGTTGCTGGTATTCGCCGGGGTCTAAACACCGGAAATGCCCGTCAAACGAATGAGCCTACGTGCTACCACTCGCAAGCGCTTATGTTTTAACGTATATTTCGGTTTTATTTTGGTTTTTAGTTCTGGTCGCGTGTTGCTCGTTCCATCACTTCAATATTTTATCACTTTATTAGTAATTCACCTTTAATGTCTGAACTATTTATGCGTTGTACTCTCTGCTTTACATTTTGTAAAAAAAGTACTAAAAAACATTAATATGATCCAATTTTTATACTCCCTTATTTTATTATTTATGTTCATTTGAATTATTTTTTTACTGCGATTATATAGGACGTTATAGTTGGTTACTCATACGCCATGCGTTTCCTCAATTCTGCTCCCGCAATGTATGCATGTAGCCGATATATATGGTATATGTGCAGTATAAAGTCAAACGTAAAGACAAAACTTATTATATTCGATATATGGGAGGCACACACACCCGAGCAGACCGACGCGATTATGTTCATCATTCACACTAAAACTTATCAGTTTCTGCAGAATTCTGGCTGCATCACACTCATTTAAATTTAACATTTCTGCAATGTTTCAACTTAGTTTCGTTGACAAATATAATTTATATGTGCATTAAACATACTACTTCTTTCAATAAAACAATGGCCAGTTAGCTCATGGATAAGTTATAAGGGACCCATAGGATTCAGGTGTGGCTGTGGTCCAATTGCGCCTACATAATTTCTTGATCTACTCATTGTGCTTGAGCTCGGGAGTGTAAAAAATAAATATTCATAAATGTAGGTTGGTAATATACTTCTACTGAAATATTTAACAAAGAATTGTAAATCATGTGAATTGTTTCCTTGAACTGGGCTTTAAAGCTTTGGACCCATGCGACTTGTTTTTGTTTCCAAAACTCAAGTTACCACTCCGCGGAACCCGTTTCGACTCGATTGTAGCCGTAAAAAAAATTTCGCAGAGGGAACTAAAGGAGAAGGAGCATATTTTGAAAAGATTAAATTTTTTTCGTTTTATTTACAATTTCCGGAAACTCTCTGGCCTTAATATACATATGTATATGTATCAACATAGAAATTAATTAAATGTCAATTTGTAGGATTCCATGAACATAATTTGGGTATAATTATAGATAAAGCAAAGTTCGCCATTACACTGGGGTTTTTTGAAATAAAAAGAACACGTCAAAACTTTCCATGCTGTAGGTCAGTTCTCAAAAGAAGATAGGTAGGTATCTTTGTTGGTACAACAGGCCAGTTACTTCAATGACATTGTGATGAGCTACATTTTGAACTTAATTAAATACTGATTACCAATTGTTCAATAGGTATAGAAATTCAAATATTTACTAGCAAAAGGTAGCCGCCGTATGTGATTGGACTAAAACTTATTTGGTATTTACTCATGTATACCAACAACATGTTCAAAATGTTGACTTCTTAAGTTTCCAAGTTTACAACGAAAATAACGTAACTATTACACAAAAACATTTTACACTCTGGGAATTCAATTCGTTTGAGTTTTTTTTTTTAATTTTACTCACTAACGGGAAATTCGTCTGAAGTGAAAAATTTAAATATATTCGAAAGCAATATCAAATCATGTATGTATTAACTGAACCATTCCTTGTAACCACTCTTCCACCGCTTCGGCCACATTCGAGGCTCTAGGCGTGCAACGGTCCCACTACGGGGGTCTTGCACTTCTTAGTTGGTAACAGCAGTCATTTTGTAAATTTTTGCCCTAATTTCACCAAATTTATTTACATTAATGCATCTCTTGAATTTATTAATTACCAAGTGTTATGATTACCAAGGCAATTTGACTTTTTGTTGTTGTCTCAACAAATCACGTTGCGGCGCATAATTTCGGTAGATAATACTGTTATTGATAAAGACCGTGGCATTAAACCAATGCTCCGTCAAATGACCACAGAGCAACCACAAATGGTACACGGCGCTGATTTCACGAACATTTACCGTTACTCTGTATGTTTGTGTGTTCGCCTTGTGAAGATTTCTGCTACGAACATTTATGCGTTGTTGTATTCCATTTCCATTTGTTCATATTGGCTACAGCAACAACCCCAGCGAGCTACTAAACGCTAATGGCAACACTCGCTAAAATTACGCTAATATATATTTGTTGTTGTTTCTCATTTCTGCTTGCAGCACATATGAGACATACACGCACACACACATGCAGCTGGCGGAAACGTGGAAGCGGTCTGCTGCCAGCAGCTGGCTTCGCCGAGTTCCATCGGTCTGGGACCAGCACAGCCATTGGCCGGCCGACGGTTGGCGCTAATGTAAATAATTTATCTTGAAAACTTTATTATCTTAAATAATTAAAAGGCAAAAACAAAAGTGAAAGGCAAATCATGAATAAATCAAGATAAATACAGCAAATGCCAAACAATGCAACAAAAAAGAAACGACGAGCAACTTTTGCAGGTGCCCAGTCGAAACTACGAACAATGCAAACATACTCGTATATACAGACAAAGCAAGTGTGGTAACCGAATGGTGGGCGAAATTTCAGAGTTAGCCCCAGAAAGCTTTGTATGAATGGGTAAATGTGTGGCGACTGAAGCTGTGGGAAACTGATTGGCTGCAGAAAATATGTTAGTTACTTACTCGAATGCAGCATATACTTCCAAGGATGTAATGAATGCAGTAAATACAATTTAAATGGAATATGTTTAAAGGTTGGGTATCCAGTGGCATTATTGAAAATAGAAATTACATCATACTTGAAATTTAATAATTAACTTTCTTTATAATTGACAAATATATGTCTTTAAAATTAGAAGACTTTAATATACACTTATATATGTAAGAGAGAGGAAAAACTAATGAAAAAAGTTGCAAATAAAATTAAAGCGAAGTATAAACAAATCGTTTTAGTCATATTTGGCAAAAAATCATGTCTATTAGATACCATAGATACCCCCCTCTAATACCTTGCCCTACTATTCGTTATGTTTTTTTTATCGTATTTTATTTATTATAATACTTAAAATGCGAAGTTTTTCTTAAGATTTTGAGCTTTAAAAGTGAATACTTGAAGTGTTTGGAGGAGCTTGGAGGAGCTTGAAGCTGTAGGAATCTTTTTATTCATAAAAATCGAAGCTTAACCCCAGTAGAATGACGAAACTCAGTTTTTATTATTATCAAACTATTCTCACAGATTCAAACTCTTATTTTCGTTTATCTGATAGATCAAACCCCCGAAAATGTAATAAAAATGCTTAGGCTGTCTTCAAAGCGGTGCTAGGTTATTATAAATATTTTCGCTCGATTTGTTTTGCATTTTGCATATTATTCATGCATCTAGTAAAATATAACACTCAAAGTTACACCTCTTTTGATTGACATTAAAAAACCTCCCAAAAGGCTATAGTAATGCAGTTAAAAGGGAAATTACAGTGACATACTTTTGAGACTTGTCCTTCAACTTGGACAAAACGCATTTGTTTTTATTCCATTTCACTAGTTCTTCTAGTTCTTATTACGAATTATCAAAGAATACAAGTACAAAGGCTGGCTTTTTAACATTTCTTTCTAAGCCTCTAATATAAGGCGCCTTGTATTTGCAAATTATTTCCACTTTTTTAAGCTGGTTTCAGGAATCTCTTTTGCTGTTCTTTCGGACAACTTCACACAATTTTAGTCACACAATCGCCACCATTGATGAATTCAACCGACGAAGGCAATTTTCCATTGCAGCAAAATCTTATTATTTGTATTCAAACTTCTTCGAATGCGTTTCACATACATACGCACACACATATACATGTCACACTCGTTTGCTTTGCATCTTTGTTTTCGCCCACAAAAGGATGCTGGTGATACATGGAACACACAACGACGAAAAAATAGTTTAAAAAAAAAGATCCTCCAGGACGAAACAGTTTAAAATCACTTGAGAAATAACGGTGAAACAATTTAAATGCACCGTGGACGCGTTCACGTTACACCGCTGCTGAAATCGAGTTCTGCGCGATTTGTGAACGGACGGACGTACATTGGTGAACTGTCGACTGCGTCCGGCGACCAGCAGCCAAGCAATGGCTGTCGAACAAGCAATCTGCCTTGTAGCGGGGGTGAGAGCACAACAACAACGATCGCCAGACTTACAGTTGCATGAATGAAGTGAATTAAAATGACACCGAAGCCAAAATCGAATTCGAAATCACAGCGAGCGGCAAACAACAAACGGTTCCAGACGGCATATGGGACAAACGAAGTGTCCGGTTTCTTGGAAGTGCGCCAACGCAACCCACACACAAACGCACATACGTACATAACTACGAACTCACTAAAAACAAAATCGCAACATTTCGAGATACACTTGGCAAATTTGCCTATTGAACATTCGATTGGAGAAAAATGCTTGACTTGAGAGTAGCGGAAAGCTGCGACTTCAAAAAGGGAAATACTTTTATTTTTTTACTGTCGTAAGGTTTAAGCATTCACCATTAAAAGTCACGAAGCTGCCTGGAATGTTATAAATGAGAGAACCAGTTTCGTGAATAAGTGCGTGAGAGCAATGAATGTAATGGCAAAAAAATTGAGAAATGTGGCTGACTAGGGTAGCCGATAATACATGAACTTGTCACATGTTGGTCATTACTCCATTCGGAAAGTGTTACGGTAAATTACTTAATTCATAACAGAAATATGGACGGCTTGAGGCAACACAAACTCTTGATCAATAATGGAGGCCCTTTGCAAAGATATCATGTCGGCTTCTGTTTTTTCAGTGATAAAAGACTACCGAAGTGGGCAGAACCTTTCGATAAGTATTCAAACTTAAAAAAAAAGAAAAAAAAGAAAAATTTATTAAAAAAATCCAATTTCACTCAGAACAATATCCACTTTGCATTCCGGTATATGCGAGAATCAAAAACATGTACAGAAAATTTATTTTTTTGATTTTTGAATACTCATGATATTTGTCGCCGTGCCAGCTCAAAAAAAGTTTATAAAAAGAAAAAACTATATTTTATACCGTGACAGGGTTGCATTTGACTGTTAAATGCTTCATATTTAACGCTCGGCAAGCGCGGGTGGCCAGGCAAACAATATTGTCGTTGTACAAAGCACCAGCTCAGCTGTTTGTCACAGCAGCTATGTAAGCTCCAGAGCAATCGCGAGCCTTAGTGTAAAGGGATCTCTTACGACTGTGTTTGTGCTTCATCTGAATGAAATGCGCAAAATTTTGAGCAAATGAAAGAATTACGAATTCGACCTTGCCGAGTGCCTCAACCCCAGTTGGGGCAGTCCGCGCGGCAACGGGCGAAGCCAACTACGCAAACTAAGCAAATGGACTGTGAGCAGTACAACTTTACGGCATATATTCACATTTCATCTAGAAAGTTTTGCTTGCTCACACTAACATTTTTAGAGAAATTATGCTGATGTGATAAATAAAAATATTTAAGCATTATCCGTGACTTAATTAGCACGCACACACTCGCACACAAGTGAATAAAACGTATTGCATAGGGTTTTGCGCAGGGCACCGATGCCAGCGTGAAGTGTAAATTCGCTTCGAATTTTGTATGCATTTCGCATATCGACATCATTTGCGTTATTCATTTGGATAGGGTTCCGAATGGTACAGATCGACGTAGCGTCTGCTTCCACATCGGTCTGCCGTTTATGTTGCTAACTTCGTCACGTCTTCGCACTTGAGACCTTCCCCCTCCTGTAGGCCTAAGGCACATTTCCACGAAAATTGAAAACTCACTGAAAATTCCTCAAAGGCGTTAGAAGAAATCACCTTCATGCTTCAAAGCATTTATTTCACGTTTTGTTTACGTATTTGTAGACTTTGTTTTTTCTTTCACACTTTGTCTGCCTGGCCACTGTATTTTCGCGATTTCTTAATAATACACGTATTTTTACACATCACATAACACAAACAAACCCGAAATAGCGAAACAGCGAAACAAAGGCAAAAGAAACGCGTCGATTCTCTGCAGTAAGCGCGCTGCTGTCGCGCCAGCCGCCGCCTCAGGTGCCCTCCCCCACAAGCTGAACGCTGGGCTGCAAAATTCGGCGTTTTTTCACTACTTCATTGGCCCAGCACTTTTCTCACCTTTCACACAGTTTTCATTTCATCGTAATTTTTACAATTTTCCTTTTATTAGAACTTTTGAAATTTTAGAAAACTTCTTTTTTCGATTTGATTTTTAGTTATTATTATTTAGCAAATATTGCAACTTTTATTTGCTGCTTGGCTAGTTTTTCCTTGTACAACATCAAAGCGTCCACTCACGGCACACACGACGCAGGACAAGGACGTCCGCCGTACGAACGAAAGTCAGAGCCTTGTCTGCTGAGTTGGAAAATTTGTATTCTCCTCTTTGGCGCTATCGTCAACTCCGCTATAGCGCACGACCGTCGTTCGTCTGTTCGGATGCAGCTCTCTCGTAAATATTGTATATACCGCATTCCAGTGTGCTCTGGGGCATTAGCATATATGGCATTTATCTGCGCATGTACATACATACGTATTTTGTATCTATCGCGAAAGTGCAAAATCTGGCTGGAAGGCTGGCAAAGAAAAACGAGAGAGTAAGAACTAGCTGGAGAATTGAGATGTCGTCGTTTTCATTTTGGGCGGTTGCTCAGCTTTCTCTCCTCTCTTGCTGCCAGCGGCCTTCGGACGACAAGCACTATGCGTCCACTTACGTGTGTGCGTGTGTATACTTAGCACCCACAACCGCGAGCGTCCCTACAAAGTTGCATTAGAACGTTGCTAGCTGCAGAAGAACTTTTGAGTAATGCGTCTCTTCACCTGTGTCTGTGTGTAATATCATGAGAGTCCCCACTTACACGGTTTGTTTATCACCGCAATTCGGCAATTTCGCTCAGTTTCACTATCTTCTCGTTGTTTGTGTTTTATTACTTCTGCTTGCGCCGTTTACACCTCCATCGCGCCGTCGCGATGAATGTCAAAATTGTGCAAGCCTGCCCCATTCGGAGTTTTCCTTTATTTTATACTGTTTGCCTTCGCAAGGCATGAACTCTGTTTCGTAAACAATTTATAAACAATTCATTTTTTAGAGCCGATAAAAAGCTTTTGCCAGCAGTAGCGATCGCAGTACATACATACATATATATCTTATATGTAACTTAAGTCTGTTGCTCAAAAATTAAGGAATTTCCCCAACATAATCATAGGTACATATGTAAGTTAACACCACCACCAATAATATGAATGGTACTAATAGACATATACTTGTATGTCAAATATGTCACATGACACATATGGTACGCCTTAGGTGAACTGTCCCCCAAAAAGCTGATGTCATAACCTTCTTCGCTGATCGTTTCGATTTCACCTGCTTTGGAGCTGAACAACTAGCTTCACTCCACTGTAAACGTTCTTGTTTCCATTTAGGATCATGGTGGTAGATCCAAGTCGCATCCTTAGTTATAAAACGATGCAAGAAATCGGGGATATTCTACTCAAAACGCTCCAAGTTATGCTGAGAAATTAGTTTCTGATCCAGTTTTTGTTAAATTGTACATTGAATTGAACAGCCTTTTGTAAAATATAAAATACTCGTTCCTCTGAGATGCCGATGGCATTAGTAATTTCTTGCTTAGTCACACTTGGATCTTCACTAACAATATTATGAACTTTCTCAATGATTTCTGGTGTGGTTGCGGTTTTTGGTCGTCCTTCGCGGTATAATATATCTTAACATTCTTTTGAAACAAGCGATTCGCACTCTATTGTATCTGAGCAACCGAACTAATAATCGATAGTGGTGCAGAATCAAAATGCATTAAAAACTTTGGAAATTTCAATAGTTTTATATGTCCTCGAGTTAGACAAATAATAAAAAATACCTATCAATATATTGTTTCAACGGGCAGGAGGCTCACTTTATTTCAAACACTCTGTTGTTTAGTATATTCTCTTAGGTTACCGGGGATCATAAACTTAGACTTCGTATTCGATTGGCTTTTCCTCTTAACAGAAGTCAGTAGTCACTTAAGTCGCCATTGCTGAACTTCCTCTATAGAGTATTGTGGTGACCTTCAGTTAAGCTTTCTCCAATGCGTTCGATTTACTCTGATGGCGTTACGGTCTATTCTTTTGTGAAAGATAGCGACCACTGGAAAACGCTACCACTTAACTGGAAATACAACAACCACCAGCTTTGCAACTGAAATTTAATGCATACTGCGCCAAGTAGCACCAAGAAAGCTAAATATGTATGAAATAATAAAGTTGTCTGAAAGCACGTATTACCCTCAATCCCACGATGAAGTGGAAATAATGGATAAGTATCAGTCATCAGAAAGAATACATAACTTTCACCAAAAACAGCGAAAACAAGAACATGTCTGTGTAAATGAAGATACCCAGCAGGAACTAAATATTGTTCCAAATTTTCTTATTTCGTTTTGCTATACGAATGGTCATTATTTATGCCAAAAACTAAGACATTTATATTTCATTTTTCCTTTTGACCGTCAGTTCACAGCCCTTAAAATACAATATAATGGCAATAGATCATATACTTTCGCGGTCAGCTTTCTTCTTGGGGTCGCATGTCGATTTGCGTTCAACAACAAGCCAACATAACAGCATCAACAAACACTCATGCAACAACAGCCACCTCAAACAACAATGAGTATCATCAAGCGAGATAATCAACAACCAAACGAACGAACAAAGGAACACTGAAGATGCAACACACGAGAAATGCTGGCAACACTGTGAAATGGGACCGACCGCAACCGTCCCCAGAGCTAAGCGCAAAAGCTCAAGCAGGTGATTGCATGCATAGGCACAGGCTTATAGCATACGTACAATGGGCAAGTAAGAATGTTCGCGATAAGCATATACCCGATGGTAAAAATGTGTCAGCGCTGAAGAAATATACTTCACATTTCGTCAGATCGTCATAACAGAACAATTTCGACAGCCTTTGACGTCTCATTCAGAAATTGCTTAACATTTTTCCTATTGTCTCTCCTCATTACTTCGTAAAAGTCCGTGAGGAGTGCTCATGGCGGCCCTCCCACTAAAATCCATGCTAAAGCCAGACCCTTTATATAAAGAGTTATTGAGTCTTATATGAGGGCAGGCTCAGGCTTATATGAGGCCCCTCTCTAAGTAGAGGGGTTACAATAATTTCTCACCATATTTTTACTTCACTGTTTTACTGCTGAGTTTGGATTTATGTTAAAGTTTTTAGCCAAGTATACACCTAAAGCATGTGCATGACAACTGCGTGCATCTTCATTCAAATAAAGGGTCTACCAACAAGAACGACGTGAAGTTATAATCTATTTTTGGGGATGGAATTGCGTTTCTTGACCCACGCAAGGACTTGACTCACACCAATAGCGACAATTTCGTTTGTTGACGAAGCAATTAAGCCAGAAATGAGCCTCATTTGAGCAGAAGATTTTTCAATGAACGTGAATTTGTGAATTTTTCCGAGAGTTGTACCAAAGTGAAACGTGACATGCTGAAATGGCAAACTTTACTGAATACACTGTCACGGCATCCCTATTGGTGGACGCTGTATATGTGTATATAAGTGCATACGTAGGATCAAAGACACTACTGTACGCCTGTTACAACTAAACTAATTGTCGCAGGTTTAATGGACCAGTCTGCGTCATATTCGATCACTGCCATTGATGAGTATGTCATGAGCTAGACCGATGAACTGTTGGAATTGATTGACGATATCGAAATAGTGCAGCAGAGTACAATCAAGCTGAGGACATGCCGCCCGAATTGAGAGACAAGGCAACTATGAATTGATGTTTATCTGGGAAGACAGAAAATTTTTAATGCAACATATATATATATTTAATACTTGGATATTTACCGTTATCCCAAAAAAAACACGAAGATTCATTTTAAATAGACAGTATATTTTGTTTGTTTAAAAGATGAAAAGACAACAATAAACATATTAAGTGAATATTATCCACTAGCATAATGATTACTTGTACATTGAAATTGCCGTAAATCATTTGCAGCTTAGATTTGCCTTGGAATGCCTTGGAAATCCAGTTACCGTCTTCTCTTCGAAAATATTCGCTAATCATACTTAATTAATACATATTTTGATTACAACTAGAAAATACATGTAAATACGAGTTTATTTATGTTGAACAGCTTGAAAATTTGCATAATAAAAATATGTCTGTTTGTTCTCCACAAAATTCACTATAAATTGCTTACACACGTACCACAACACGTTATCTAAACATTTTCAAAATGGTAAATTTGTCTAAATCAACCGCTTACAGTACTTAATTTCCACACAGATAAAAGTTCGTTCAGAGAATATAATATTTAACAAATGAACAAGTACGCAACAAGGATATGTATCAGTACCATAGCTTCACTGTATAGTTTAAAAAGTAGCCTATGCTAGTTATAAATAAGTTAACACAATACAATAGCCGTTTAAAATACACCTAACTACAAGTACCGCTAACATTAGCAAAAATATGCGAACGGCAAATTAAAGAGTACACATATTCAGTATCATTGGAGTTGTATCCAATGCAATGTATAGGTATGATTACAATCAGAAATTGTTTGCTTTGCGTGCACTTGCAGCATTACAAAGTAGCCTATGAGCTTCGGATAAATAATTTTTTTTTTTAACTTTAGCAAAATCGAATCTTGTGTCTAACAAAACATAGAGCGTCGCAATTTCATCATTATTTCTGTTTGTTCTTGTTTTTGGAATGCATAATTAAAACACCCGTAAGACAGCAAGTTACTCCGGGCCCGTTCTGTTTTTTTTTTGTTTTTTGGTTTTTATTTCAGTCTGAAAAGCGTCCTTTATTGCTGGTTGTGCATGCCTCTTTAACAGCAAAAAATTGTGTTTTACGACAACGAGCTGCGCGGTCAGCGTCACATATAAGAAGGTGAGGACTTCCGAGACCTTGAACGCGGCTTTGATGGGCTTTTTAAGCTGTGGCGCGAACCGCTACGCGATTTGAAGCCATCACTCCAGGGCTCAGAAACACGTCCATACCAATGCACCAGATCCATGACCTCCAACTAAGCGAGTGAAGAGCGATGAATATTTTATACTTCGAATCGAACAAAAGTCAACAGTTTTACCTGTAAAGTCTGTGGCAACTCCTTGAACATATCCTGCTTGGTGACATTCGCATGCTGTGATAGGAACGATAAGCAATTCGACTTCAAAGCGGTAGCCATGTAGCGATCCGCAATGCCCAACAAGCAAAGCACCGATTCTTCGTCAATTAGTGAGTTCAGTGTATTCTCGCACAGCTCCTATCAATTGAGAATATATTATTCGTTTCATAAGTTTTTGCAATTGGTTTTTTTTTATCACCTTCAAGTCGCAAATTGAATAACGATCAGCGAGAAGCATTAATTCGCAAATGTGTTCGGCTCCTACCGTTTTATCAATAGGCGCGCCATAGATGTAGAGCAACAAGCGGCGAAAGATCACGGGCGAGGTGTCGGTTATGATGATTTTTCTGCAATAAGTCGCACCATTCATTAGCGCTCTCTCATCTACATATATTATATAACGTGCGCATTTATATGCGTTAGATATACTTGCCTCTTGATGCTCTCCTGCATGCCGGAGAGCAGCGCCTTTTTGAACCACTCGCAACGCGCTGAAACAATCACTCTATGCGCTCGAAATGTGTGCACTTGCGCTGGTGGCCGCTGTAGTTGCACCGGTTGTGGCGACTGGACCATTTCAAAACTGTCCTTATTCAAAATCGATATGACAGGCAACTGCGCGCTACTTTCCGCATAGGTGTGCACTTCAAATTCCATATCCGCCAGCTGTGCTGAGTGCAGGAGGCGCAAAGCGTTCTTTGATAAATTGCTATTGGCGGCAATGGGCGGCTCACACAGATGTTTCGTTAAATTCAACTGTTCAACGACGGAAGTAAAACGTTTCGAATGGAAAACATTCAAAGCGACAACTCAAGAAAAAGCTTACCTTAACATTCTTGTAGTCATAAGAGCGCCGACGTTCCATAGCGAAGTCGTCAGACACTGCATCCATGTTGTTATCCAACTCTGGTAGCTTTAATTCATGCTCAAGTATGTTGGAAGCTTCCAAAAGTCCTAGTTCAATTAAAGATTCCGTGAATTCGTGCTTCTGCACCCGCTTGCATACCTGCAATGTGGACAAAAGCGTAAAGTATAAACGGTATTCAAGACTTTTATCAAGCCACCTACGTTGCTAATGGAGTCACGTAACGCAGACTTGTGGTCAAGCAGCTTAACAATCACACCATTCTGAAATATAACAAAGCAGCTCTGCACTATCAACACTTTCGTATTGTGCTTAAACATGCTTACGATTTGACTTGTCGCCAGTTTGAAACAAAATTTGAATTCTTTCCAACCCAATTTTTCATCTACTCGATCAGAAAGATTTTCCATAATCAAAATGTATGCGGGTATGTCTATGATCAGCTGCTCCAAATTTTGATTAATCGTGCTCCGTTTACTTAAGAAGTCCATTTCGCAGAATGACGTCCTGGAAATGTAAAGAATTTATCATTTACCATATATGGTGTATACTGCTATGGTCTTGATCTGACTTTTTGTCCCTAATAATTTCGAGAGCCGTGGCGATCCGCCCATAAATATCACGCATCTTTCGTACTTCATACATATATAAAACAAATTTCAAATCGTTCTCGGCCGTCATTAAGCGTTTCTTGTCTGTTGAATTATCGTAAAGTGTCAGCCCAACGGGTGGGCCACGTCGTGGTCTTGGTGACATGGGTGGTGGACTGAACAACGGCGCCCCATTGTCTTCTAAGCCTACATTGGCACTGATGAAAGCATTGTTTTGGGTTTGCATTGCAAGTACACTATCGTTGTGCTGTCGCGCCGATAAATCCAAGTGTGAACAATTTATATCCTGTAAGCGAAAATTTTACATTAAATTTTTATATAAGAAACCATTATTGTCTACTCACTTTACACATTTTTTCCAAAGAGTTTTTGATTTCCTCAACGACATCGGTTAATATTACTAGAGCAGATTCAATCTAAGAATATACAGGAATTTTATTATTATGTATGAACGCTACAATTTCCATAACAGTTTTGCAAACTTACTTCAGGTACTAAATAATTCACTAATTCCGCCTTTTCTTCTGCCGTCAGACTTGTGAAAACATTCAAAATATTACGCAGGAGTTGATGAATTTGCGACATGAAAATCGGAATACGTGTGCGCACGTATTTGATGATTTCATTTTTCTGGTAGCGCGTTATATCCGAGGCGTCTCGAATGAAAATATTACAGAACTGCAACACCTTGGCACATCCTGAAGGAAGCAGAACCAAATGTAAATACAAGTTATGTTTAAATAAGTAATAAAAAAAGGCTACCGATTGCAGACTCCCTTAGGCAGTCTTTAAAAGTCGCATAGAGTGAGGCGGGTTCGTGTAATATCGTAACAGGGTTGATTGCTTGTATTATATGGTTGAGCACGGCATGTGAATCCATCAGCGTATTTACCACAACTGTAGATAAGTGACAATTACATATGTATATGTACAAATATTTAACATAACCTTACATTTCTTCAGTTGCATGAGCTTCAGATACTTTCTGGTTGGCTCCACCATTTTCGTAAGAGATGGTTGGGTCTCTGCGAAATTTATTAATTTCTCACACGCATTCTCATCCATATCGGGCATCAGCGATTCCGCGTACAGCCAATGCAACACTGGTATCAGTAGAAAGTTTGGCAAATTGTAGAGGACTGCAACTGGTGTTAGTGGTGAAGAAGGCGGTGTATCCATCGAGCTAGGAAAGGGCGAAGGACTGCGTACACGGTATGGTGATAAGGGCGGACGACGAGTGTTGCACACAATAGTTGTCTCCGTCGGCTGCTGCAGAAAGTCTTGGCAAAAATTAAAAATATTTTTGCAATGGGACTGCGTTTCAAGATGGGAATCTGAATTTGATGTTGGTGGAAAACGGCGCATACCGCCCATATCACCAAGCGCTGCATTTTTGTCATGACCCACTCCAATATTGCTGGTCGTAAGACAATTAAAGGAATTTGACAGGTGTGCACCGCGGTTAGCAATTAAACCATTATTACAAATAGAATTTGTATGTTCAGCTGGTGGCTGCAGGTAAATTGGAGAGATATTGAGTTGCGGTAAAGACATCTGGTTATCGTCATAGTTTTGCACATTAGAAATGGGTAGTGTCACTGAAATCTTGATAGGGTTTGATGCACCCAATATAGGACTGACGCCATCACTCGTTTGGCATTTCTGCGCCTTCTGGTATTGCTGTTGGTGCGATATATCGTGTGTTTTGCACGATATCGCATGCTGAGAAAGTGCAGGCCCGTTGGACTGGACACACATGCTGCAGTCGAAACCACTTAGCCGTAATACAGATGAATGTACGTGAAACTAAAAAAAAGTCGGTAAGATATAAAAATTATTAGTTAAAATACAAGTCAACTGTTACACAAAAATTAAGAGACCTTTGAACATAAATGTAAAGTCAACATTCAACCAAGCAAAATTAAAACCAAACGAAATAAAAACGCAGCTTAAATGTGTCTGCAGGGAATTTGCCTACATCAAAACCATCCGAGCTTTTAATAATCACATCCGTGAAGTATGACTCTTGCAACGCCTCTGCAAAAGAGAATTCACGTTCCTGGCCAGCTGCATGACACTCTTTCAGTCGCTTGCATTCCAATGCATACCAGTTCTCACAATCCAAAATTAGCGTATCAGTCGGTGTTAAAGTGTTAGTCTGTACAATAAAAACCTTATTAGGAATCTTGGTTAGGTGATACACGCTCTTACCCTAAATTCTATGCTATGTCCCGCAAACGCGCCGAATACTAAACGTGGATTCGTTTCGTTCACATCGAATGTTTCACAACTAAATAAGACACTCGCCGAATCGCAGCAAGTGGCGCAGTCTTTTGATTCAGGAAGTGGATTAACCAAATCGTTATACCAGGTTATATCGTTCGTATCATCTAAGCGAAATTTAATGCTAAAATCAAAGGAGTAGTAATGTTATAACTATTTAATATTTAAAATTCACAGTTTACCCCTCCAAACCAGATATTTCCTTTTTAAGCTCAAAGGTGCAAGAAACGATCTACAAAAAATGTATTGTATATACATTTGGGCAAAGAATTAAAAATTCGCTCCCGATTTACTCACCTCCCAAGTGCCAAGGAACGAATGCTCCGCCATGGCGCTGGTTGACCACTGCTAATTCTCTTAAAGTGTTTATCTATATTTGTCTTTTTACGTTTTACAAAGCACTTATGAATATTTGTTCACATTTGCAAATTCAGCGAAAATTTTTGTGTACCTATTACTTCTTTGCATTTTTGACGTTTCGCTAAACATCCACTCCAACTGTCAAATTACACATTGACAAATTTGACGTTCCTTATGTTTCAAAAATCGTAATAAGAGTTGAGATGTTTTCCATTAAGGCGAAACTCCAGGGGCTGCTTTCTACTAGTTATTGCATTATGTCACGTTCACACAAATATTTTCTATACAGTTGGACTTGTAGCAGACTTCCATTAGGTCAACCCTTTATAATGATTATTTTTCAAGTTCTGCAAGTACTCTACATCTGGTGGTTTGAAGGTTACACGGTATATGTATAGTTTAGGTCCCCTAACTAAGGAGGCCTCAAATATGATTTTTTTTTAATTGTTTTATTTTTACGCGAAGATTACAAAGAATCAGAACTATATATTTACCGGTTATACCAGATTACATACTTTTTCGGGTAAAATCTTAGTATAGAAAACCATAAAACTGCCAAGGTACTATTATTGTCGTAGTTCTAGAGCTTCAAATTTGTGAGCGTAATAATTTTCGCCAATATTTCATTTTGCAAGCTACTGTTTAATTGCAGTTGCAACAGTGTAATACAAGAATATAATCGAAATAAAACAAGTATTTATATTGTTTATAGATACAATATATATTGTATTTTCTTTATTCAAACTTGTTTGTCGTTTTTTGTTACTTTTTGTCTCCACGTTTTGTAGAGATTCAGCCTTATTTACTTATTATTATACACAACTCGGAATATTAATATACTTGTACATACAAGTTAGGTCTGTTTTTACCATATAACTTACTTATCATTAAGAATTATAAATCTACTCTTAAAATATATGTCAATATTGTTCGGTTTTCATTTTTTTTTACTCAACGACTTAGTAAGTAAATGAGGGCTGATTGTTAGAAAATTGTGTATTTTATTTTTGTTTTTAATTGTCGATCAATTGTCTATTGACATTTATAATGTTTACAATAATAGCTGACGCTAAAATAAACATAAATTACTCCTAATTACTCAAACGTTGGTTATAAAAATTAATTTTTTAAACATTAAATATATATATGATTATAAAAATTGCGTTAAGATTCATTAATACTCTTTAAATTTCAAGACTATAGAAACTGTACAAATATTGCAAGAATTATGTTTAAAAAGCGAATCAAGGAATCATACCCTTATTGTCATACAACGAAAAAATATATTAATATAATAAATGAAAGAAGCCTTAATAATGAATAAAAAAAAAAGTAAGTTAATGACAAGACTAAACAATCTAATTAGACCAGTGCGAGGGATACTATTCCGCTACACTTAAAGGACCTTTCATTTTTGGCACCGAAATATCGGCAGAATTGCCACATTTAATTAAAATTATTATTACTTAAGCCATTGAGATGAAAGGACGGAACCTTATTAAAAACGTTAAGAACAGTAGCAAAAATCGGACAGTGGCCGATGAGATAATTGATCGCAGACGAGCCCCGGTACTATTATCATTACAATTATTGACTATGGACCTCCTATAAAACGTAACAAGCATTGCGGCTGATACCAAAGGTATATCTCGTCACGTTAGCTCTACGACTTACGTTCGGCCACCCGACACAAACGAATACTAAAGTTCCCTTCAACAATGCACACAAATCTAAAGTAGACTCTTCTTTTCTAGAAGAAGAAGATCCTGCAGTCCTTCCAAGAACCATCAACTGTTAAGATATAAATAAGAAAAATCTACAATTTTATCTCCAGAACCTAATTAAAGCATCTTATCTAAAAACAATCCAATAAACTATTACCACAGATTTGTATACTTTGCCTAAGCTACACTCTCTGCATTGAAGAGAAATCATTTTTGTTAATGTGAATCAGAACAAAAGTTTAGACAATTCCGAGGCGCAAGTTAACAAAATTGTATCTCTGCACTTAGAAATTATCCACCCGCATAAATAAAAACCTTCATTGGCAATCTAAGCTTATTTAAGAATTTTATTTTTTTTTTCCGTTTCGAAAAGAATAATCCATTATTATCAATATTGGTGGTCCTCACAAGAGAGCTTGGTAATTAATTTATACTAATTGATTAATAAGCAGTTTCAATCTTTCTTAAGACCACCAAGATAGGATACCAACTGCTGAATAAGCATTTTAATTTTTTATTGTAAATCTTAACTGTTAAGCAAGATTATAAATTTTGATTCAATAAAGATTCAGTTAGATTCGGAATCCAAACCGAGAGGTGTTATTTCTCGGCATGTTGGCCGAAAAAAAAAATTGTCTTTTTAAGAAATTGTTGCCCACATAATAATTTTTGCATGCAAGTTAACGGCAACCTCCACAAAGTAGCTTTACGATCATTATAAACAAAACTTCTTTGCACTCAGCAATAATAAAACTTCTTAATAAGCATCTTTGCTTATTTAAGCAACCAATACTCTTTTTATTAAGCTAAGACCACCCATACAATGTAAACAATAAAACTAATTGCTGAATAAGCGAATATTGTAAATTGACACTTATTGTAAGACTTAAGCATATAAGAAAAATGTATATATAAGAGCAAATGGAAATAAAGAGATTCAGTCTTCCATCAGGACCACTCAAACCAATCGTTTGATTTCTTCCGTGCTTCCACATAGGAGGAAGTTAATTGGCGCCCAACGTGGGGCATGTGTTAGTGATATCCTCGGTAAAAAAAGGGAGAAAAAAACAAGTATCCCTAGCCGAAAGGATATTCATAGTGACGTGTGTCGAAACCACAAAAAAAAATAGCAATCAAGTATCCTCTCGGGAGGAGAAAAGAAAAAAAAAACAAAGAAAATATATATCTATATATATAAGAAAATAACATATGTATTTCCAAAACTTTGACAAAAATGACAGACGCTTTACCAACTGACTCAGACAAATGTAGGTCAGATAAATCTTATTAAAATTTTAAAAGGTTGTAGTAGAAACAAAACAAGATAAGGATCATATAGGAAAAAATAAAAAGCATTCTTTCCTAGAAGAAAATATTATTTTTAATGGGAAATAATTCAAGTACACTAAAATACGAAAGGCTGTACTATTGTAATCATTGCAAGGGCAACCATAGAACTGAAACTTGCCCATATTTAAAACATACAAAAACTAAAATAATAAAAAATGGCTCTAAATAGTGAGAACGAGAATCTTGTTGCTAGGCTAATAACTGCAAGAAATGCTTCTCTTAGATTAGAGGTAGAGGAGTTGCGAAGGCAACTACAGGATTTAACACAGTCAACTACAGTCGTTGATTATAAAATAGAAGTGATCGATCCACATCTCAATTGTGATGAGTCACTTGAGGTGGTCAAGTCACTACCAGAATTTAATGAAAAACAAACTAAATACGTTAGCTGGAGGGAATTAGCTAATAACGCAATGAGCTCATATGTAAGGAGCAGCCGTAGATATTTTGCTGCATTAACTATACTAAGAAATAAAATTACAAACGATGCTAACGACACTTTATCCAATCACGGAAAGGTTCTTAACTTCGATGCCATTTTGGCACGACTCGATTTTGCTTACGCGGATAAGCGACCAGCTCATATTATCGAACAGGAGATGAGTATTTTGCGCAGGGCACTTCTTCAATTATCGAATACTATAATAAGGTTAATGAAAAATTAACTTTACTTATTAATAAAACGATAATGACTTACGGATCAGATAATGCCGTAACTAAAGAATTAAACGCAAAAAATAGGCGCGATGCGTTGCGTATATTTATAACAGGTCTAAATGGACATTTAGCCAATATAATATTTTCATTATCACCAAGTGATTTGCTAAATGCGTTGGCAAAAGCACAAGAATTAGAATCGAATAATATGCGAGCAATTTTCGCATCACAATTCGGGAAAAATCCGAATTATTACAGGCAAGGTACTAACTTCAATAACGGAAATTTCAATAATAATTTACGGTTTCCACAAACCCAACTGCAAAGAGGCTACAACCAAAGGCCCTTACAACAAAACATTCAGGCAAGACCTATCCCAATGGATGTCGATCCAAGTACTCGAATCCAAAATCGACCACATTATAATGTAAATAATACAAGTAATGTACAGAATACAAAAATACATACTACAGATAAACGACCATATACCAGCGCACAAATAAGTAATCAACCACCAAATAAAACACAAAGGATAAATAATAATTAAGAGAATCATTTTTTAGATCAAAACTAACTCTGCCATATATTTTCTTACATGACAGGGTTAATGGCCAAAACTTTAAAATTTTAGTAGATACGGGAGCAACAAGTTGCTATATAAAATCAGGAATTTATAAGAATAAAAACGAATTAAATATATATAAAAGAGTAAAAACAATTTATGGATTTTCGATAATACGATATTATCATTTTATTACTCTATTTGGTAAAAGACAAATTTTTTACGAAATCGAAAATTTAGAAGTAGACTTTTTAATTGGATACAAATTCCTTAAAGAAATTAATGCAGTGATCAACTTGAAAGAAAAAAAGTTGATAATAAATAATGAAAAGGAAGAAGACAGATTTAATAAATATAATTACTTTTGGAGCAGAGACTCCTAAAGCGCCAGCTGAAGACTTATACCAGCACAATGAATATATTAAAAATAAAAAATATAATGTGGAACAAAAAAGTTCTACAACGCCAGTCGACGTACTTACCGACAATAAAGAAGATTATATAAACAAAATAAATTTAGAGAAAGAATTCTCTGAAGCACCAGCCGAAGAAAATACCGGCATAAATGAAGAAAAAATTAAATATTTGAAGGAAAAAATAAGAAATAAAATAAATGAAATACATTCTTCAATAAACATGAATTTACCGTTTCGAACGGATATTCGTGCGGAAATAAGAACCTCGGTAAATACTCCAATTTGGAGTAAACAGTATCAGTATCATTTAGCATCAAATGCTTTTGTGAATAAAGAGATTGATAATCTTTTAAAAAACGAAGTTCTACCACCAAGTAAAAGTCTTTATAATTCTCCAATCTGGGTGGTACCAAAAAAGGGTATCAATGATGATGGCACAGCAAAATTAAGAATGGTAGTAGATTTCAAAAAACTAAATGAAATTACTATTTCGGATACATAGCTGATATCAGATACAAATGTTATACTTTCAAATCTAGGAGGATCACAGTATTTCTCCACAATCGATTTAGAATCAGGATTTCACCAAATTTAAAGAAGCCTGAGGACATC